TCGCACACACACACACACACACACACACACACACACACTGTCTCCCTCTTTCTCTCTTAAAATTTGTGCACTTTCGAAGATGTGTTTTCAAGAATCTATGAGGGCACTACTGTGTTGAGAATTGACCTGTACAATGATGTTTGTTGTTTTTACCTTACAGAAATGGACAAAAATGACAGTAAATTACAACGGTTATCTTTTCATTTTTTTCAAACTACACTTTAACGTCCATCCTCAATAGGACTCGATCAAGTGGGAAAGACGCCAGGCAAACCTTTGATAACAAAGAAACCTTAAAAGTTCTCAAAATAGCTCACGTCCTTCGCTTCCTAAATAAATTTCCAATGCAAATCGAGAGGGAATTATACGTTGTATTGTGTCCATTCATTAAACACTTCGCCTCCTGAGAATTTAATATCTGCTCACTACCTAGTTTTGAGAAATTTGGCATAAAAAACATTTGGAGTTTTAAAAAATGTCAAGCTTTTTGCAAATGCGATTCTTTGAATATCTTGATAACAACTCCGAATCATCTTACGATTTTGATAAAGAAGATAGAACATTTGGTTTCTGACCTCATGGTCTTAGTTACTCAAAACGGCAAAAAATGTCAGATAAAACTTTATAATATTTCTAGGACTGTGATTTGTCGGGTATACACATTGTCCTTGGAATTTATTCTAGAGCTCTTTCTTAGAAGCTAGAACAGCCAGAGGCAAACTGCGACCAGCTGACAATTTCAGTTAAGTCCGCGAGTCGACGTCGTAATTTATAATGAACGTGGCCCATGGTGAGTTGGTAATCAATGAAAACAAAACTGTCCGTCTTGAAAATCAACATACCGGAGTTAGAGGAGCCAGCTTCACGAGACTGGTAACCCCCCCCCCCCCCCCACACACACACACTCTTCGTCCATACACACACGCCCCCTCCCCATACGGAAACAGGACCTCTTTGTTTGGATGCCCAAGCCTTTCATAGGTCATGCACTTTTCAACGATACAGCAAAAGATAGTTGTTTCTTGGGAGAGGGAGTATACACATATCCTCCTCCCTCCCAACACCCATAGACAGACAGACAGACAGACAGACAGACAGACACACACAAGTTCGCACTCGCACACGCACACACACACATATACACACACACACATACACACATACAGACACACTCATACACATCCTCACGCACACACACACACACACACACACACACACACACACACACACACACACACACACACACACACACACACACACACACACACACGGTTTTAATTACATGTATCTCGATCATCATCATCATCATCAGGTGCCTTGCCGACTGGCGTGGGCGATCATGGACGTCCACTTCACCCACAGAATTCTACACTTAAGTGTAGAATTCTGTGACTTCACCCTGCCCTGCGCTGCAGCTATGGTGTCTGTTGTTCTTGCTGCTCCCAACCATGTTGTCATCTTGTCCAGTATCTTTTCCCTCTGTCTGCCTCTGCCTCTCTTTCCATCAAACTTTCCTGTTGTTACAATATTCTCTAATGCTTCTTTCCGTATTGTGTGTCCGAAGAAATTTGCCTGTCGTTTTCTTATATTCGTGATAAGTTGTTTTCTATAATTTGCTTTAACCTGGACTTCTTCATTAACATTTTTTTTCTAGCTGTCCATGGGATACGTAGCATGCGTCTTATGTTCTGTCGTCTGCTTTCGTCTCCTCTTTCTGCCCCCACCCCTCACCTCTTTAGCCCCCTCCTCTGGGCTCCTGACTCTTTCTGCAGTCTTTCTACTGCTTCTCCTTGGCTCCTTCTTACTGCTGTCTTTCAGCCACACCCCCGATCTTCTGGTAGGAAAGATCTACACCGAGCCTTCTCGGACAAGGGCAACAAATCTCGGAGGGCCCGTGTGCAAGTTGCGCACGATAAAGATCCCTTGGTGGTCTAAAATCGATAAGAGTAGGCTTCGGTTGCCACCCGGGCAAAATTCAAAATTTCCTACCGACTGAAAATATTATATGACCTTATGCAGTTGCGAGCGCCGTAAAACACTTACCAAAACAAAACAAAACAAAAAACAACAACATGTATCTCTAAATTCTATACTCGTTTTGCAACAAAACCAAAAAAAAAAAAAAAAAGGGATTCCATATCTAATAGATCTGTGGATGTTACAATCAAAAGTAAATGTATCAAAATCACTTAAAAAGGTGGTGAAAGCACTTCCAAACACAAAAGACAGTATATTATGTGGCTCTAATGTTGAGCACTTTTGATGTTTTTGCAGGCAGAGAGAGCACCTACTAAAGAAATTCAGAGAGAACAAAGTTTGAGAACGGCTATCCTTCAATCAACTAGGGCCCCACACCTGTGCTTCGTTGTGTCTATGGTGTGGTTCTAATTCTTGTTGTTGAGTTCGTTGTTGTTTATGAAAAAGGTAGCCTACGATAGTGGTGATGGTGCATTGGACTTAACGTCGATGAATATTTAATTTCTTTTATTGCCCTCATTTTGAATATTTCATTTCTTTGCTGTTTTATTGAAAGGTGCATCTATGAAAGGCTTGGGCACCCCAAAAAAGAAGTCCTGTTTCCGATGGCTCTCTTCAAGATTTATTTACCATTCGATCGCAGCCAGCTTCGTCTTCAGCATCATTGTCTGCCTTCTGCTAACCTTGTACGCAGACGTACGTACCGGCCAATAACCAGACCTGAAGATCTGAAGGGCCGGAAAGTGGCGTTTTACGAGCATATATTTTTCAGTAAATTGACTAATAGCGTTATCTGTGCTCTGGTTTTTTAGTTTGTTGAACATGCACAGTCTGGCAGTTGTTGAAAAGGGGACAAGACAAGCGTTTGAAAGTTATGAAAGTTAACCTCTGAGATGACGTATCCAATTTGGTGAAAATATATTAATACATGCGAACATGTGTGTGTTTGTGTGTGTGTGTGTGTGTGTGTGTGTGTGTGTGTGTGTGTGTGTGTGTGTG